ATTATGTACAGCTGCAATAAACAAAAACCCCAGTTCACTAGAGGGCGTGGATATAGAGTAAAAACTAGTCACTAGACCAGTGATGTCAACGTTCACCGTGACGTCCGTTTGGTCGAGTGATTGATCTTAGGGTACATTTAAAATACGACGCAAGTGTTTCACTTGACGAGCAAGTGTTTCACTTTGCAAGTGTTCACTATTTAAGACGAGAGGCGTAACTTCCCGAACTTAAGATCGTCATAGCTGGCGAGTGGCGTGTCTTAAGATTGTTGCAGTTGAATTCCAGCCTATTAAAGTTGAGCTAAGTTTCCCTACATAATTCTAAATGTTAATAAACATACAACAATTTTCCCTACATAACGTTAAATAAAATAAATACAGAGCAGTATAGAAGCACATCGAATTTGTTGAAATATAATTCTTCCTTGTCTACTTCGTTAACTTAGGTCCGCCAGTGGACTGACACGGTTCCCAGTAGAGCACCAAAGTCAAAGATCTCTGGCTACGGTCAGTAAGCGGGCGGGTGATCACTTTGATCAGTCTGCGTAGGGACCAAGGGGGCGCGGTATTGATCCCCGTTAAATTTTTCTACATTAAAGTGCTCGACTTCACGTGCAGGTTGTCGGGCTACCAAAGCAGAGAAGCCAACCCTTCTGCAGAGGATCAAAAATGACTGATATATNCAAAATTGTGATGGCATGTCTTCGGATCATCCTCAGGGATGTTTCCCAGACCGTCGCCAATAGCCCATTGTGCAGCTCTAGTGCGACGTAAATGAACTACAACTACTACAACAACTAACAATTTTCTGAAAGCGATTCGAACGTTCGAATAGGAGACGTGTAACGCTGGGATTAAATTAGATTTCCGAATTCAAAGATAATTTTTACCCAGATAATTTATGATTTTTTATAATCAATTACCAAGATATTTTATGAATGTATACCAAACATAATTTTTCTCTCACAAATATATTACGTATAATAAATAGTTCAGATAATTAATTTCTTGCAGAACTTATAATAAAATCTATTATATTCTTGCACAACTTCAAATAAAACGTAAAAATGTTTTTGTTTCAAATTTTTGTGAATTCTTAGCCATAATATCTTTAGCATAATTATTGCGGTGTTTTTATTATCTTTCATTTTAACAACCTTGTAATATTTTCAAAATATTTAGGGAAAAAAAAGGCCTCATAGTTTAAAGAAAAACTCCTTAGTTAGTAAAATTTTGTAATTTTTTCGTTAAAAAAATCGGTGAGTTATAACTGAGATTAGTACATAATAAATAAATAAGATTACTATAACTATATCGTATATAATTTAAGTAAGAATTACTCTAAATTGTTTTCTTATTTTTCATCTGCTGTGCAATTTTCTATCAGAGATTTGAAAGAACGAAAGCTTTTACAATATAATCATCTCCGAAATTTTTATAAAGTAGTTGATTACTTTAGATGCATAATTGAGAAACATAATTTAATTTATTTTCACTTGTCTTCTAAATGGGTAAGGTATTATTATTATTTTTTGCAATGCCCACTTGTGTTAACATCCGTCAATTCAGGCATTTACAGGGCGATTTTGTTGACCTCTCTTTCAGGGGCACCATGTTAGGTGGGCCAACATCGCTCCCACAGTGACAACAGATAGTTCAGAAAAGGAAAGAACATCCATGCCTTGCCCGGGATTCGAAACTGGAACCTTTCTGATGCAATGTCAGTTCCCTGACCCCTACACAGGCCGGTCGGCATGGGTAACACATAAGTGGGTAATAAAAAGAATGAAATATGAAGAACGGAAACTATTTCAATATAAACGTTTTAGAATTAGTATAAAGTTGCAGATAAATTTAGATGCATAATTAAGAAACCTTTTTATTTTTCTGTTAATCTTTGAAAATGCAAAAATTTCCCCTTTTATTTTCTAAGACAAAAATATATTTTTACTCTTATATCTATAATACCAAAATATATTCGACAATTTATTTTTTGAAAAATTATGTATTATTTCCGGAATTAAGATTAAAGAATTTCTAAAATCACATTTTTTAAATTTTTTTTGTTAGAAATAGCATTAAAAAAGTAACTGAATAAGAAAAATGTTTTATTTATTTCTTAATCTTCTGTTTGACATTTGACCTTTTTAAAATATTTACTCTTTAATAAAATGGTAAATAACAAATTATAGAGTGAAAAAAACTTAAGCATAATTTTCTTTTATGTTTTGAGGTTCTCAATCAGCTAAGTTATTCTGAAGATATTCACTTATATTCATTTGTTATTATTAAACTATCGTTATTTGTTTTTATTCAAATAATACTTTAGATAAGCTTAAGGTATGCGATTAATACTACTTCAAAAAGTTTTTAACGAATTTATGCGACGTGTAAAAAACGAGAATTTCTTTTGAATAATTCATTTGGATACAGAATGGTAAATCATAAGAAAAAAATATCCTGCTTCAATCAGAAAAACAATTGAGAGAATTTTGTTGTTAAAAATGTGCGCAATGAAAACTAATTGACTAACGCTCTACCAGTTAGGCTATCCCTGTACTTCATCCTTTTTGAGTTGTTTTCAGAGGAAAAAAGTGAAATTTTTCTAGACCGGCAAATGAACCATTGTTCCAAAAGTATTTTTCTACACTGAAAGGTAGGTTGGTACTTTATTTTCGTCGCACTAGAGCTGCATATTGGGCTATTGGCGACCATCATGAAAGCACTCCTGTGGGTAATCAGAGGACATGACATCACAATTTTATGAGGACACTCTCTTAATTGAGATCTAAAGAGGAAGGAACTTTTCTCAAGATCCCTGATTCCATGTTACTGTTCAGTGACTCACCACAGGACTTGTGGTTTTAACGGAGTCGAACCCATGCCCCTCTGGAGCGGAGTCTGTAACCATGGGCCCCCCAAGCTGGAAGACAAACACATTCGTACACTACACTGTTTCAGTACTAAGCACACAGTTGTCTAAATTGTAGAGAGAGGCTCAGTTCTTGCTGCACCACTATTGTATCTGGTAGTTTCCTTCCACCTCCAGCTCTTACAAATATTCAAGTAAGTAAGTGATCAGCACAAAAGTTTTTGTTTGAAATGTAAAAAAATTACACAGCAGTGTTTTAATGCCTTACTATAATTAAACAGTAGTATACTATTTATGTATAACCTTTGATGTTATATGGTTTAATTTCGATTACGAGTTGTTGTTGTTAATTTACGTCGTACTAGAGCTGCACAATGGGCTATTGGTGACGGTCTGGGAAACATCAAGGCGGATGATCCGAAGACATGCCATCACAATTTTGATCCTCTGCGGAGGGGATGGCACCCCCGCTTCGGTAGCCCGACGACCTGCACGCGAAGTCGAACACTTTACGGCAGAACAGTTTAACGAGGACCAATACCGCACACCCTCGGTCCCTACGCAGACTGATCCAAGTGGTTACCCACCCGCACACTGACCGTAGCCAGTGATGCTTGACTTCGGTGATCTGCTGGGAACCGTGTCTTAACGATCAGTCCACTGCGGGATTTTCGATTACGAATGTGTGATCCTCTTTATAGCAAATAGGAGCTGATTGAATTGCTAATTAAATAGATAAATCCAAATATTAGGAATGGGTACTTACATAGTTTATTGTATGTTGTAAAATTAGTAGTTTTAAACGCAGGATAAAAGTGACAAGCCTAAATCCTCCTACTATTTCTATAAATTGAAATAAGGTAAGACAATTTAACGAAGCAGAATTTAAAAAAAATGAGGATCGAACTTGCTACCTTTAGGCTTCAAAATGTTTGGTGAAAGAACAATACTCTTACGACAACTTGAATGCAAGTGCCGAGAATTTCAAGTAATGCTTGTTTTATATTTTTTATATTAGGGTTCAAATCCTGAATCTCTAAATTATTTCTGGTCTCTGGTAGTCCAATGGTTAGAGAATTGAACTCCGGTCCAGAGGGTCGGAGGTTTGATTCTAGATTCCAGTATATCCCACCCAGTACATGTAAAATACATGGAATCGAAACTCTTGTGGTCGGGGGTAGAGCAGTACTATGGGTACAAAGATTTGTGGAGATTTCAGATCTATATGTAAATTGTGATGGCATGTCTTACTTAGGGATGTTTCCCAGAAAGTTGCCAATAATCGATTGTGCAGCTACCTACCTACATTACTTCTAAATTTTCTTTTGCTAATAATGACCAGGCCCACAGTGGACTAATCGTAAAAACACGGTTCTCAGTATAACACTGACGTACTTATAAAAACAAAGTACCCAATACCTACAAAGTACTTATCTACCTAATAATGACAAACAAAAGTAATATAACTGTGACCTTAGGAGGAAAATCAATTTATGCTTTCCAACTGCTTTGTTGCATGCTCCTTGTTCAAATGTGTGATTAGCAGTTTAATTAATTTTAATACTCTCTCACGCCCTTACAAAAAGCAGCTTTAGCTATCTTCGAAAAGTTGTAAGTATGAATTTTTGAACTAGCTTTTATATCTTTATATTTATAGCTTTATTGTTATAATTTCTAGGAATATTTTTTAGAAATTCATTTAACAAAATTTGGCACTTAAAATTTTTTTAATTTAAATTTAGCATTTTAAAGATTTTATGAAAAAAGTTAGGTTTTTAAAAAATTCATATCTTAATTTTAAAAAAGTCAATAAGAAATGATAGTGGAAATAGTTTTATCTGCAAATTCATATTTCTGTTGTGTTATTACGACACATTATTGTTAGCGATGTTAAAATTTTGAACTTATGTTAGAAAGCGAAAGTAAAATTTCAATAGAAGTTGTCAAAATAATGAAATATTTATTCTCTTTATGGTGTAATAAGCCTTGGTAGCTCAGAAAATATAACGCTCGATTCCGAATGATGTCCGGTCTTTACGAATGCCGCACATGGTTCGCGTCGACCACAGTGCTAATGTAAAACGCAGTCGTAAAATTAGAATTGGATTTGCGGTGCATCAACGGTTATAAAATAAAATGTAACAAAACATAAACATTTATAATTAGAAGGTATTGACTAATATTTATGTATTTTAAACGATGTAAAGCTGTTTTTATGTATTGCTGTGTTGAATTCACTTAAAATTTACAAAATCTCTAACACTTGTCCTAAGTAACTAAGAGTTTCTATGAATGTGTTCAAGTTTATAAGAGTTGCTTAACTCGATAGGATATTTTGTAATGTAATTTTAATGCAATTATAATTGAGTTTGTGATACATACAGTTAAGTGTTTACATAAATCATTGTTTCAATTATCATATAATAGTAAACATCATGGCGAACTCATTATTTGAACTTAATCATTTCGTTTAGGAAGTTTATTCAAAATACTAAAAATTTCCAACAACAAGCTACTTTTTGGCTGTTCATTTTGTCTCTGCAATTTATGATAATTTTATCTCTATGAAAATCTGCATTTTAGAGCTTTAAAATACTTTACTGCTCTGTTAAAAAAACTTAAAAATTTTTCATTCTTATTCACTCATTGCGCTTTCGTTACTTTAATTAAAAATCAGACGTTTTTAATTTTTTTTAAGTTTAGACAAAGTTTGTACAAAATAAACTTCACAATTTGCAAAAATGTCCTTACTTTAATATTTAATTCATATAATTATATCAAAAATGATTTAGAAAAATTTATGCAAATTCTACCGAAGATTTTATGGACATTTTTAACCATACTACAGGATACATTTAATTAAGTTTAAAAATATTTGTATTGAATATAATCAAAATATTTGAAATTATATTTATCAGTGTAAAAAGTCATATATTCTTATTGTGAAAAGTATTGTATTCTGTAGATTGAGGAAGTTATTGTTGCTTAGTCATTAAGAAATGTTTTAAATATTTCATGAAACTTATTTTCAAATTATAGAGCCACTACTCGTAAGACCTGGATTGAAAAGTACCACCAATTTGCACCATAGCTATGACAATTCTTTATAATCCTCAGGATTTTTATCTTCCATGACATAGTCCACTATTAAACTATACATGTTATTTCCAATTTTATTAAAATTAAATTTTTTAATTAAAAGCACTTTAAAGACAAAATACAAATCATAGTTTCGTATAACCAATTTGCTAATGTCATTTTCAACTGGTATATTTGGTCTGCCTTGATGTTTTTTGTGTTAAAATTTAGGTAAAAATACTTAGTTTTGAAGTCAGTCGCACTTATCAAAAATTTTTTATTTTAAATGCAGTTTTTTTAAAATATACACATCAATTTTTGTTTCAAATTAAATTTAATTTAAAATTAATAAACCAATATTATGAATTCATGATTTACGCTGCTGTCTCTTAATTTAAAATCTATTCGTAATTTAAAGGACGAGGGATTTGTACTTGTGTTACGCGAATAATTTGACTGCTAGGAATTATATACGCAGCTACGGGAAAATGTTTTGCTTGAGAATCATTAACTCAATGTAAACAGCAAAATTTCTAAATGTATAATTTTTAAAAGAATTTTAACTTTCAAATTAAACGACACTTTTAGGTAAATAACAAATTTGCACGTATTTGTAAATATTTTTCAAAACAAACTAGTATGTTTCTGTTGTGTCTTTGTAGCTATTTTAATAATATTTTAGATCAATAATAGAGTCGTCATTAGTTATGATTAGTAGTTTATTAATAGAATGAAAACATAAGGCACATTGTTACATCTTTTGGTATCATCAACTTATCAAGTGCAGTTGAAGTTGTCATTTGAAGTCTTACCAATAATCAATTGACAGTAGAAGTCGTAGTAAGTTATATCACATCCCCCTTTTCAAATTTTATCAAATTGATTCAATAGATCAATAATAATCCTATTAAGCATAATAATTTAATCACATACAGAATCACTTAAATAATTGGGTCTGTTGAGTACGGCAAGAAATATACCCTATTTCTTCCACTCCTATATTTTATTAAACAAAAATTCTTAAAAGAAAATACAAAATTGCAACATATTTCTAAAACATAAACTCGAATTCCATTGTATAAGTCAAAAGTTATTTGGAGACAAATAAAAACGCTTTCACCTAACTCTCCATTATACAAAATCTATCCAATTCTTATTTCAAAACGTAACAATCCTCCCACCGTTTTGATTGGAGGTTTACTTTACTAATCAAAACTAATTATATTTCTATGAGTAAAATGAATGAAAATTATAATGTTAAAA